TCCTTCCTTCCTTCCTTCCTTCCTTCCTTCCTTCCTTCCTTCCGATATTCACCTAACTGGGCTACTAACTTAACCCCTCGCTTAGCAACTGTGGCAAGAGAAGTCGTAAAACAGGGCAAAACTCACTTAAGAAACATCTCACTTAGGAAGAGAAGTTTGAGGCTCCATTATGGTCGTATGTTGAGGAGTAACTTTAGTTCAGCCCGTCTGTAGCGTGGAGGAGGCTTTCCTTACTGGATTTAGGACTCAGGTGTATTTTTAGGTTGGGATGAAAAAGGGTGCAAATGAACGAAGCTAGTCGTATAATAATTGTTTGTTGATGTCCTTCCTACTAGGCTTATATCAAGATCTACCAGGGGGAAGACCTGCCACACCCAAAATCCATGTTGCTGGTGAGTTTAGCCTGGAGAAGGGAGAGTTAAAATACAGATAACAGATAATCAGAGTTGGAAGGGACCTTGTAGGTCATCTAGTCCAACCCCCTTCCCAAGCAGGAGACCCTACACCAATTCCTGACAGATGGGAGTCCAAATCACCAATGTCTTCGTTTAGTGACCATCGGAAGTTATAACGGCACTGGAAAAAAAGCGGCTTACCACCTTTTTTCACACTTACAACCTTTGTCGCATCCCCATGGTCGTGTGATGGAAATCACTTGGCAACCGACTCGTATTTATGACGGTTGCCGTATCCACAGGTCTTGTGATCCCCTTTGGCGACCACCTGACCAGCAAGCAGGAAGCCAACAGCCCCGTGTTCCGAATTGAACTATGATTCGCTTAACAGCAGTGGCAAGAAAGGTTATTAACTGGGACAAATCCCACTTAAGAGGTGTCTCGCGTAGCAGCAGACATTTGGGACTCCATAGTGGTCGTAAGTGGAGGACCTTGCCTGCATTGCCTCTGCAAAGCCTGCAGAGCTAGCTCCGGTCCCAATAGCGAATAAAATCACAGAGCTGTACAGAAAAATTTGCAGCAATAAACCTGCAAATGCAACCCAAGACAGTGGTTGCTATCATAACACCTCATCCTCTTTGAGAATCACATAATGTGCCAGTTTCCCTCACACACAAACACACTTTTCTGCAGTTTTCCGAACTCTTAGCAGAGGGTGGGGAAAGTCACTTCTGGCTCCCTTCTGATGTTTCTCCTCCATTTGCAGGCCACGGCTGAAGCCAACAATCTGGCGGCTGTCGCTTCGGCCAAAGACCTGTATTACAGCAGCATGGAAAAGGTGAGGGGGGTCGGAGGGGACTTGGGGTGGCCTTGGGCTGCCCAGGAATCGTTCTTGACTCGTGCTGATTTGTCTAGAGAAGTGGTTGAGGGTGGGGTTTTTTTTGCCAAGAAGCGTTTTCGGAAGGGGTTTTGCATTGCTTCCTTCTTCCCAGGGCCTGGCCCAAAGACACCCAGCCGGCTTTCATGCCTAAGG